TCTAGTGAGATTAGTTTTTGTACTTCGCATCTCGCACAATGCGGTCGTTCGGTTAGGCTGAGATATGTTTGTTAAAGTGTCAAAATCTCAGTCAGAATCAGTTTTTTAACCAATTTGAAATAATTCCTATGAAAGATTATATTTCACAAGTGTCAATACTAGCGACGGAAAATATCATGTCGGCCGTTTTTATGTGTGATAACAGAACCTAAAATCGAGGTAAGGCTAGGCCTAGCCAGCAGCGTTGGATAGGCTAATGTTTTCGGCGCCTACGATATTTCTTCTCACGACCTATCGCAAAATCAACATGAAAAATTCATCCGCATTCAATCAAATTTCAGTCTTATTTTACATTTTTTTCATTCTTAGGAATGTCTAAATTCAGTTAAACTAGCAATTCCGTATTATATTTATAAATCTTTATAACATTATACAAAAATTAGATTTTTCTTAAAAATTGAAATTTTGCCGGGAATGGGGCTTTAATGTGTTAATATAATTTTTTGCTAGGTGTCTTTTTTTTGACGACATATGCATTTCTTTTGGCTGTTATTGGTCTCTAGTGACCAATTATTTTAATTAATTAATTAATTTATTTATTTATTTATTTATTTATTTATTTATTTATTTATTTATTTATTTATTTATTTATTTATTTATTTATTTATTTATTTATTTATTTATTTATTTATTTATTTATCTATTTATCTATTTATTTATCTATTTATTATCTATTTATCTATTTATTTATCTATTTATCTATCTATTTATATATTTATCTATCTATTTATCTATTTATCTATTTATCTATTTATCTATTTATTCATTTATTTATTCATTTATTTATTTATTTATTTATTCAGAACTACACTTTCATATCAGGGACACTCTTCCAAGAGGAAGGTGCGGCCAAGAAAAATAAAACAAAATTATACGCAAAAACAAAACTTTGGCTAAGAAATGGAAGTCTGCAAAATAACAATTTAACTAAAACATTCATATTTTTTAACCTACAGAAAGTCTACAATTAACATTCACAAAAAATAGCAAAACATACCCTCCCACAACCCACCCATCCGTCCATTGAACAGAAATAAGTCATTTACCCACCCACACAACTTAACTAAGACCATTTAGATATAAGTATCGGTTCTTATAGGTTTAGATGAAACGAGCGCATAATGCGGGAGCCAGCAAACGATATCGTGCCTATGTATATGTAGTTGTCATGCCAAAACATTAGAGAAGGTTTGCCGAAATTGTTTTCCGCCACTGTATAGGCCTACGTACATGTCACGTACACGTCACGTATGTTGTATTGAGAAGCGCCATGCAAGTCTTGCTAGACGTAGGCCCTAAGCCATATATACAAAACAACGTGTGAAATATGAAAGAATCTCGCTCTTGTTTAGAAACAGAGACGCCCGTTCCTTGTTAAGCTGTTAGTTACAGTAGCTTAGTGGATCATAGAATATGCCGCTGGCACATGAAACAATTAATACACATAATTCTACTTTCGTATGACTGTGAAACTCAACTTGGTAATATGGTCACTCGAAGCCATGCCGTGGTATCTCCATCGAGGTCTTGGAGTCACAGTTTGCCTTGTACACGTATGCCTTATGCGCAATTATTGCAATACTGTTGATCCATTAGGCACTTCTGACGAATACTTGCCGCTTTAAAAAACGCCGCAACAAAGCTTATAATTATTATTTTTAATATAGGTATACAGTTCTCCCTCCAATTCGAGATCATTTTGAAACTTGAAAATGTAGTGGCCTCGGTTCAGTTAGATCGAATTAGCTGTGTGTAGAAAAGAAGAACTTTAGTTGGTACTTTGTAAATGTGGTTTCGAATTAAAATGGTCTCAGAATTAGGGGGATCTGAAATTGGAGAGCGAACACTGACCTCTCGTATCAAGAAACTGTAAAGCCAGCTTTTGCACTGCTGCCGACACGTGTCCATGAGTCTGCGACGAGTGATCCACTGTTAACGGACTAGCGTTGCACAGACGAGACGGATTCATCAGGCAATGATCGGCTAACGATTTCTATAATTTGTTATAAGAAATGTAGAATACGAAATGATTTATATAAACAGAAATCGAATGTAGGGATGTCTATAAATACCGAATACCGAAGACCCAAGACCCAAAAACGAAGACCCCTATTTTTTCTCTTTCATTTTGATGATAATACGCCAGGCTGTCACAAAATCTGTTAGTGAAATTTTCAAGGGTCTTCGTTTTATAGACACCCTGTATGGGTGTCTATAAAACGAAGACCAAAGACCCGACAAACGAAGACCTCCAATTATTTCTCAATTATCTTATTGAAAGTATTTCAAAATCATCATTGATTTTGTGACAGCCTAGTGTATTATCATCAAAATAAAAGAGCAAAAAATAGGGGTCTTCGTTTTTGGGTCTTCGGTCTTCCGTAAGAGACCAGAGCGTCGTACACATTATAACATAGTCATCGATAAACATGTAAAAGGTAAAGGTAAATCATCAACATTCAAGTTAAAACAGCAATAATTTATCATAAAACAGATTACCTAAAATTATTACAAATGTGAAGTTTAAAAATTCCAAAATCAAACTTAATATTGTCGGAAACAAATGGGTTTTGAAAAGCTTTTTATCTTACTGGGAGGTTGTTTCATAACCATATACATTATAGCTCCAATATTAATGTAATGTAGTTAGATTTACACCGAAGCGGTCCAAAAGCGCTCGAGGTGTGGACTGGTTCTTACTGTAACTTGTCTCTCCCCAACGTATCTGGGCTACCCGGTAAATCGGTACCAGCTACTCTCATCTGTCCACAGCATGTGCTGAATGGACCAATTATACTCGTCTCGAAAGATGCACTGGGTTCTTTAAAGAGCACGAGCCAAATTGTGTACGCTGGGCCTACGGTTTATTCCTTATCCGAGAGAAGACTTCTTCAACCACCAGAACCGTAGGTGAGTGTGCCGTTCGAGCCATGGCTTATATCAGTTTGCGTTAACTTAACATTATACATTAATATGTGTTTTAATAGAAATGTATTTTGCCATGCGTCTAGTGTGACTGACTGCGATTATATGTTTGTACTTAAAAAAAAAATACGGCTAATAGTGTTCACTTAGGATAATTGGATTAGTCGTCGCATAATATGCCGATCACTGTTTAGAGCGCGGTCGTAACACCATTAATCATGATTGCGCACCTGTGACTGAGGGAAATGTCCTTTAGAGAGAAAAAATATAAAACATTTACTGTACTTTGTAAATAAAATTGTTAATATCCTTACGTCATTCTACGTTATACTCTTGGTTGATTGACAAAAAATAGATGCTTTGCCTTATATTTTATTTTTTGATATCGAATATTAGGTATCAGAATTCAGACGGTCGTTATGCCAACGTATTTGTTTTTATATGTATTTTGGCCTAGACATCGCAGTTGAAACTACGAGATGGATTACTTTAGACAATAATAGTAATAATAATGATAATTTTAAAACAAAATGTAATGACAAAAAAGAAGATCGACGTTTCTTTTTTCTCTTTTTTGTCATTAAATTTTGTTTTAAAGTTATATAGTAAACGTCTGTTGATTAATAATAATAATAATAATAATAATAATAATAATAATAATAATAATAATAATAATATTAATAATAATAATTCACACTGTTACCGACAATCAGCAGACGGGACGGCGTAGCGTCGTCTAACGTTCACATGAAGCGGAGTTGAATTCGTCGGCCGACGCTCTTGCAACCGCCGTATGGTGGAGTGAGTGCCCGGCTATTTTTTTTAGATACTTCATGTTAAAGTTTCTATTGGGTAAAATGTTTCCAAACGCTGATACCTTAATTCAATAATACATATAGGTATTTTTATAATTACTATTATAATAATATAATGTTATAAGGTCGCAGGTGGTCAAAACCTGCTAACATTTTGATGAACCAGAGAACTTGACTGATGATGATGCCACCGAGACAACACGCTACTCCTCACAGGTTGCAGGTGTGACCAAGATATTCTTCACACCAATAACATCATCGGCCTTGACCATGTAGCAATAAATTGAAAACCCCGTTTTTTGATACACTATTATTTGCCTCTAAATCTCAGTGCTCAGTTTGTTAGCGATATAGTAACTGTAAACCCAAGTCAACCATGCAAAACTACTTATTCCGCAGGACTATTTGATTTTACACTGATTTACTAAGGTTTGCTCTTTTAGCGATCCATTAGCATTAACATTCACTAGGTGCATTATGTAGGCCTAATTTGATTTTATCCTCACACAACAGCGAGTAGCTCAGTCACCAATTACATTCTGGTAATTAAACGGTAGCCCTTTTTATGATGATTTTCAAGACCCATTAGGCCTATTAGGAAAGTGAAGTTGTTAGTCATTAAGTAAATCCTGACATTCAAAATGACAAAACCTTAGCCTTGTGGGACGCGATTAGGATATAACATCGCGTCGGCACAGCGTCGTCCAACTGTGTCAGAGTCCCTGCTTAAGACAACACTAGCTATATCAAAGAACATTAAGAACGTGTTCATCGGCTGAAGCTCAACTCCACCAAGCTAACGTCTAATAGCATGAAGTTCATATGTATGTCTTAGTATTTTTTGAATTATTGTAACATAATGGGACATTCCTTCGGGAGCTACGTATGTGTTGCATCCTCGTTTGTTTAATGACCATGATAATAATATGAAGAGCGCATAGATGCCTTGGACCATTATGTAAGGCCAATATGATATTGCCATTTATAAGATATGTAGGCCTACTAAATTACCTTTCTACAAGATTTGTAAATATATAGGCCTAGGCCTACTTATTTTATGTATTTCGTTCACATCAGACAACAAGTATGAGTACTCTCGCCAATGACGAAATGTTCCTCTACACACTAAGTCGTATTTTCAAAATGTTGAGATGGAGCCTGGTTTCTATTAAAATCGGTACACAATATCGCTGACTCCTGTGGCGACGCTGATTGGTCAGTTGAATCAGGGAGCGCTCCCGATTGCGCCGGGGACAGCTACGCAGTGCAAGAATTGCAGTGAAAACGGTGTAACGAATGTGTAGCGATTCTACGCAAAACCGGGCTATTGAGTTGTGTTTAGTTATAAAACAAAAACCTCCCTGTGTGAAAAAAGGATCTGAACCCACGACCAGTGATTAGACGGCAGACAGCACGACCCAGTCTCAATATCCTGTCTACAATGATTATTTGATTCGCTCCCTGATATCATAAAAGATCACGTAATTGAAACCAATGTATTAAAACATTGAGTCCACTGATTAGTTTTACTTTGCCAGGGCCTTCGCAGATCCCTGTCCCCAAACCAATGTCTTGCTTCGCTTGAATAATTTTTTCCATCACTCAAACCGTACCGACGCATCTCATCATAATCACCATCATAATCAACATCATCATCAACGTCCTCATTATTTTCGTCCTCGTCATCCTCATCGTCGTCATCACCATTATTATCTTCACCATTTATTTATTTTGTTAGCTAAGGTATGAAAGTAACTAACAGACCCCTCTAAATGCAGAATAGACATCTAAATTCAGATGAGACAAGACACTTCTTGAACTCCCCGTCGTCTCGCAAGTGCGCGACGACTGCGCATATGCACATTGTTTCCAATCTTTAATACAACTTCCCCACCCATTGCAGTACACAATCAATTATTTTAGGTCAAATCAAAAATTATAAAACGATGCAATCATGGAGGAATTACTTTTACTCTTTGTCTCTGAATTGTTTATTCTCAATATACTTTCTCGTCATAATACCTACTTACTTTGCTCTGACGGGATAATTGCCTCATTTAAATAAATATGATTTCTGGTAACTTGTACTCTATACAATATTTCTTCTTGTATTATGTATTATTATTATTCCTGATGATGGTTGAATAAGCGAAACGTACAATGAAATGGCCTTGTCAATGTTTTGAGTGACATTCATAATTTTTGTACGTAAACTCAGTGCACCTAATGTCAATGATACAATTTACTTACTTAGGTGTTCCTACATCTGACAGTCATCATGCATGTCTTGGAGTAAATCTTCTAGCGTCCAAGAAAAACTGTTTCTAGAAGATTGTTGAAAGTTTCCCTTGATTGAGTTGATGTTTTTGCCTGGTCAGCATCTATTCCTAGCATCTCACCAATTTTACTCCATGGGTCTCTGTAGTGTGGTTAATTTGATGCAGCAAACATCGTTCTTTTCGCATTCTTATATAGGCCTATACAATTATTGTTTGAGCTTAAATCCATAACCATTGGGCTTACTTAATCCTATCATATGAACAGTTATTGATTGTGCGCAACCCGTAGTATAAGTAGCATAGGTGTACGTACGCACGGGGTCAGGTATGCGGAACGCATGGTTCTCAATCGATATCTCGGCCTATGACTACTCATCATCATGAGAGAAAGCCAAGGCTAGGCGCAGCAGAGGTGATCAAAGGGAATAATAACGACTTCCCATAATGCCCTTTAAATCTATTATTACAACCCTGGGAATTCTCTATACCGATAATTTATAAGATACGATTCAGAAAATAATACGAATGGATTATTGCTTATTAAATGTACATGTATCTTCTTGCTAGAAGGCCAAAGATTTTTTTGCAGACTTACTTACTAACGTAGGAAAGTGATGTTATTCTTGACTTCTAATGCTGCTTGACGAGAATTTATCGAATCACTTTCGACTAAATTCTTAAAGACGGATTTGAGTATTTTACCGTTTTATAAAAAATAAAATACCATTTAGCTAAAAAAATTGTCTGATTTTCATAAAATCTGGCGCTACATGTTTTCACCACATTTGTTACATTGTGTAGCTGTTCCAGACTGAATCGGTACAGTTTCTAGATTCGACCAACCAATCAACGTCGCCGTGAAAACTTTTGGCGAGAGTGTGTAACGATTTTATGGATACAAGGCTGCATTGGCACGTAGAATCGATCACTTTGACGTCCCGAAAACAACGCGCAAGACTAAGTGTTTGCATTACATGTGTACTTCGAAGCAGATGGGCCTATAAATTTTGACGTAAATGTTTACGTTGTGATTCTTCCTAATTGAACACATTCTAAACAAGTAGCTGCATTACCGATAGTCAATATATATCAATATACAATATTAAATCTAGAGTATAGCCTATTTTTTGCATTATATGGTGGCCCTTTTTTCGACACAGTTGCCTTTTGAGCAATTCCAATTTGTACGGTATATCAAGACGTGTGTACGTGGCTGTGACGTAAGCACGTAGGGCTGTCACTTCAAACGCGAAGCAACATTCTAAAATGACAAGAAGTAGGACGACAGGTTAGAATACAAATAGCAGTTAGGAGTAAAGGATAGTGCCAAAAGCTTAAAAAAAAAAAGAACTGTAACGATACACCGATGATAAAGTTATTCCGCCGACAGTCGTAGGAACCGCGGAATAAAGAATCAATTTTCTGTCAAAATACCAGGAATTCTGTCATTTGTAGCTGTCGTAGCATTGTCTATCATTTTTTCTCTCCCTAATAGAAATGTTTTATTCATTCAGTCAAACAGTCGCATATTGAGAATACGTTTAATCTTTACATTAATGTGTCAATCATGACACTCTGTTTAAATTGCCATTTTGATAATTGACTACTGGTATTTCGTTCGTCGTCAGTATAGGACTCCTCCCACTCTTGCCCTCACGCCACGGCACTGGCAGTGTTATACCATAGAGAAAATAGAACAGAACTGTTCTATTTTCTCTATGGTTATACGTCACCTTTCTGTTACCACCGAGTCAGTTTTATGATCAAAATGAATATTGGTTAGTGACAGGCGTGAACAGTAGCTAACGTTAAAATCTCATTTTCTTTTTGGCGGGCTTTCTAGATTTTGGCAATGAGGTTGCTTAACGGAACAGCAGCGATGGATTTCTCTCTATGTATAAAAAATGTTTGTAGGCAGTTTGATTACGTTGTATACAGAAATCACAATAGACGTAAACTATTGTTTTGGTAATAATAACCATCTATTATCATTACCACTAAATAATATGCTTCTGTAGAGATAAATCTGAAATGCATATTTTTTTTTAAATATAATGTGAGTAGTGTAATTTAAATTTGATTTACCATGAAGTGATTTATAGCTTAAAACTGTTGCTCTTCTAACCTTTCTTAAGACGGCTCCAGTGTAGCATAATTTACACTTAAGGCCATAGTGATTGCTTCAGAGTTCAGTATACGCAGGGTCGGATCAAGGATGTTTCTACCGGGGTGGTGTGAAACTCCCATTGAGGGTAGAAGGGGAAATTATTGAGAGGGGTGATTCTTTAATTTCCGAGGGTTTAGCCAATTTAATCTCCCATCTAATGCCCCTTTCCCACATTCACGATTTTTGCTACGGCAGGGCACGATTTTTCAATTTTAAAAAATCGCAATAGCGTCGTCGTAAATGTCGTGGTCAAAAATAATTCATCGTATTCTATCTTGATCGATGGTGTTTGAACAGTGGGTTTTTTTGTCATGTCATGTGATGTTTGTTTTGTGATGTGCGTCTTGTTAAATCATACTAACGTCGTGCTTGCGTCTTTGTAAAATCGTAGTGACGTCGAATTAAAATTTTGGTATTTCGTAGTACGTCTTCACAAATCGTAACTCTATCGTTATAATTCGTAAAAATGTCGTCGCACTATCGCATTAGTGCCGTAATACATCTTGACGGCGTCTTGATGAAACGTAAAACTTGAACTTTTTGAGTACGAATTACTACGATAGAGCGCGATTTTAAAACTTTAAAATCGTGCTCTATCGTAGCAAAAATCTATCGTGAATGTGGGAAAGGGGCATTAGAAACCGTGCACAATTTTACTTATCATTATTATTACTATTATTATTGTTATCATCATCATCATCATTGTAATTTTTATTATTATCTATATTATAAATTTTTAACAGCAAAAGGTCTGTTTCAATGTCCTATTATTTTAAAGGGCGCCCTCATTTACAGCAATTACTTTACTACAACGGTTTGTGTTGGATTGAGATCTTGGCGACTTGATACATCCAATTTTATTTGCACTTAATCTGGTAAAAAATATCTAATTTTGGAATCTCATTTGTCTGAGAAATCTGTACCGAACGCGAATATATATTTTTTTTCAAATTTGTTTCTTCTATAATTTAAGGTAAAGACTGTGAACTTGATGAGAAAATTGTCATATTCTTGACAATTCACATGTGGAAATACTCCACTTCTCGAATAAGTTTACACTTCTACACGGTATCATAGTCCTTCCAACACATTTTTTGTTGAGCAGGAGGAACGACCACTGACGATTTAAAAAAAAAATCGCACACGTAGGGTTCATCTATCAGGCATTTTCTCACGTATTTTCGGGTTATTAGTCGTGCAAAGTGACTTGAGTTTACTCGCCTTGGAACAATATACTGCAAGATAAATAACGATGGTGAATATAATATTGACAATGATTTAAAGTTTTTTGAACACAGAGGGGAATGTGCACGCTCTGTGGCTGTATGTTTCTATTCAACACTGATAAGTTATTCGTTTTATGCGTGTATTCCTGGTTTTGTTGTGCAAAAATGACCCTACGAACGTTTACTCGTTCAGTGCAACAATACCCCAAGGTGTGTGAGTAGTGAACATAAGTTAAATTTTATTAAAGATGCCATAAAAATGAAATGCTATGTGCACGCCGAATTGTCGATACACGCTGTTAACGTACGTTGCTGCACGCGTTGATACATTATTAATCATAAAACTGGCTTCATATGTCGTCGCCGGAAGAACCCTTTAAGCTAGATTTTTACAAGGGTTAATACATTTGTAAATATTATAACAGAAATTAAGCGTTGACGAAAAACGTAGGACCATGTGTTAAATGAGAATGAACGCGTTTCTTCGTTATTGCATTCTCTTTATAATGAACTCTTAGTGACGTATAAAGACCAGTACAAAATGGTGGAAAGCGGATTATTTGTGAAGCTGATAGTGAGAAAGTTGGCTTAATTGTTATCATTTTAAATCTACGTTCATATGAAAAGTCGACGAAATCCACTCATAAATCATTTATCGAATTTCCATTACTACTGCTCCGTAAATCATTCAGTGATAAATCGTAGCCTAGCTTAGTAAAATGTGAGAACGCACCCTTACAATTCAATGCTAAGTTCTCATCCTGATTTCGAGCAAATTCTTAATTCTGCAAACGTGCTTCGAATCATGTTCGAAGAGACAGTGACAAGGCATTAAAAACTTCATTTAATAAATAATTATGTGTAGGTAGGTGCATGTGGAACGGGGAATTCGATTTTTGAATATTTATCCTTTCGAGGAGAAACGGCGAACAATTAAAATGCTATGCGTTAATCCACTTATCAGATGCATACTTTACGTGAGACTTTTCTATGCCCGTTAGGGCACGATTAAAATATTCCAATGCATTGTGCAATGTATTTATTAACCTTTTTTTAAATATATATTTGTATCTTCTAAGTTGTGGTATAATTGTAATTGTATTTATTCTATGGGTTGGTTGGGCATATTTGGATTGGCACACCTTGAATATGGATAGGCGCACTAAAGATGCACGTATTTGATGCATGCTTATTATTTTAATTGTCTTCCTCTAATTAAAATTTCCGGATTTTATGTATCATTAGGAATTTTACGTTAACTATACAGTAGATGGTCGGTCACAATCATACTTAAAATCAGATACAGTAGATTAACTATGTTGGCATATAAGATCATGCTGTGTGATTATTAACTATTTTTAGTATCATAATTAGGCTACTATTATTTTTACCTTTACAGTTATTTATACTATTAATGTACCTTGATTATTATTATAAATTCCTGTATTAGTATTTCAATTTATCATTTTTTTGTAAGGATAAATCTAGACAAACGAGAGTTTTTTTTTGTGTGTTTTTTTGTTTTTGATATTTTTGTTGTGTCCTGTAATAATATTGACGTATATTCTTTATTTGATTTATGGAAAATTAAGAGATGTACTGATTAAATTTGAGAACTTTAAGGGTTACATGACGGTAAACTCTGATTTTCGATTTTCCTTTCTTCTCTCTTCCGTATACAAGTGTTACATCTGCCAGTTGGCTTAAAAAATCAATCACTTTTGGAATTTTCTTCTTAACCGTCTTTCAATCTTTATACGATTTGTAAATGACTTTAGCTACAACACCGATGGCTTGGGAA